CTAGACGGTGCTCTTCCGATCTCCCCAAAACCCCAAAACCCCAACTCTGTGTTATTATAAAAAATATGAAGAATTAGTTTTGGTAAGTTAATCAGTAAATATTGTTTTGGTTTCTTTGAAAATTTTCATTGATGCTTCCAATTACATCCTAGTTTCTATCTAACTTCTAAACCATCCATCTGTCTTTTTCCTCAAACCAGCTATTACCATTATTTTGATCCTAGCTTTAAACTGGTCTAAATAGTTAGTTATCACCTGCCAAGTTATTAGATTTATGAGAAGGTACATTTATCTTTTGCATGAAGTCTTAGCTTTTAAATGAATTAATTTCCCTTTTAAGGATCTGTATTTGTTAAGTCTTTTCATTAAGCTGCTTTTAAAACTAATCGTGAAATTCATTGCCCTCAAATAACTATGGAAACTACATTCTCTTCTTTCTCAATTCTGTAATCTGATTTTATAGTCTATTTACTTCAAGTTCTTTATTGGTTAAGTGCTATTTTAAGTCAATTATTTCGGAAGGACTTTGCTAATGTTTTAAATCAACTATTAAATCTTCTAATTCCTCGATCCTTATCAGAAGCTTTTATTAATTTTATAATGAAGGATCCATTGATGAGATCTGTCCTTGTCTTAAAGCTAAGAAATCTTTGCATTCTCTTAAAATTCTTTAATGTTCATCTTGAAGTTCTTAGTAGGCTAGATACAAGTTTTAGTTCTCGAAAATAATTGACTGCTTTTCATCAGCTAAATTTTTAATATAAAATTCAAGAAAGATAATTACTTTATACTCTCAACTACTCGACAAGATATTCAGCTGCTGCTCTTTTATCATCGGTTTATTAAACATATGCTAATCTTTAATTAGCTTCAATCAGTTTCCTTTCTATTTACGCAACTAAGCCTTAATATTGATCTTTTTACCTCTGTAACTGTAAATTTTAACCATTTATTTTTTCTTGCAATGAAATGTTTTCTTGCAGTAAAGCATTCCATTTCCTACTACATTACTTTTCCCTCTTTTCGAATTCTTCAATAATCCTTTTTTATCTTACAATGTCACGTGATTATGTTTCAAGTAAATTTGTAAAATGATTCGAAGCGTTACCCACATGAGTTTATTAGATTGCTAGTGATAGATTATTCTTGATATCATTCATTTCCTTAACTTTTTAGGAGATTTCTTCTCTTAAAAAATCACATTCCTTTTTACTCTCAATCAGTTACTTCGACCAATCTTATTTCTGCATATCCCCAAATTTCTCATTCATATCAAACATCTGCTACCTTAGCTAATCGTTTTAAATTTTTAAGTTCTCAGTGTAATCTCTTATAAGATCCTCTTTTTACTTAGATTAGTTAAACTGCTAACTTATCTTTTCAGCTTCAAATCTGGCCTAATCAATCTCAGATCTCTGATTAATAATTTCTTCTTCTTTGATCTAAAGCTATCTCTGATTTTGCTAAAGCTAATTCTCTAAGTCCATTTTTTCACCATTGAGCTAATAGATTATCTTGTCTTTATCATTTAATTGCTTTTGGAATTAATTTATTTATTTTGAGTCGGTGTCCTGGATGGTTTCTTAAAGTTGTAATTTGTATTGCTCTAGTTCATTCAAGCTTGCTTTTAACTTCTCATCATATTCTCTTTACAATTACTCTCTTAAGTTTCTAAGCTCCTCATGAAATTACTATTATTATTGAATGTCTTAATCTTGCTTTTACTATTATTATTGCAATTATCTTCTCATCCTTTCTTCATTCATTGATCTTTGCTGAGCCTCCATTGCAAAGTGATCAATTTTTGCATAATTTGGAAAACTCTCCTAAACTAAGTTTACTTTTTCATCTCTTGGATTAAGTGAATCGTATAAGGAGTAATCATCATCTTATGCAGCTAACATCAGTCTGCCTGTTTATTGGAAGTCATTAGACTCTCTTATCATTGGATTATTAGTTAAACTAGCACCTGGCTGAAAAGGATAACGCTGTTAATACCCTAATTGCTCTTACATTTTAAGAAAATAACTAAAATTAAAATTAACTAAATTTTTGAATTTTGCTTAACTTCTCTTTATTGATGATATTCTATGAAGGGGTTTTGGGGTTTTGGGGTTTTGGGGTTTTGGGG